ACTGCACCAGCAGCAGACCTCTCATCAGAGCAAAAGAAAAATACATCAAAACATTATCAACCCAGCAGGAAGACAGGGGCCATAAGGAAAATTACCCATTTTTAATATGGATGCCAGAAGCGGCATCTATTATTTTTTTTTACTAGAGGGAGGAGAAAAAAAAAATCCTCTAAGGTTTGAAGTCCGGCAGCATTAACAAAACCATGATGCACACAAAAGAGTGGACATAAACAGAAAGGGGAAAAATAAAATCAATCACACTGTGTCTTCTTTTATTTTTTACATTGCAAGAGACGTATTTGATTGTAATCTGTAAGATAGATATGCAACGGTGCCAGTGAAGTTTGCTTTAGTAAAAAAAAAAAAAAAAAAATCAAAGATTTTGCAGAGTAATGTGAAAGAAAGACAGCATGCTGTTCATTAAAATAAAGGAAAAGTTGCACATTAGAGTTCCATCATCATAAAAAGCAGGATATTGTTTTTAAAATGAGGAGCTGCTGAAATAGAATATTACCAATTACCATGTTTACCTACTTTGCTTGCCAAAGGGGAAAAGCCAATAGGCACTGCAGGACATGACACCCTTTCAAAACTCACTTTTGTTCCTCACCGCCCTTTTTCTGCACTGCATCAGAAAACACAGATGACATAGCAAAACATTGAAAGCTTTATAGTAACTGAACACAAAAAGTAAAGATTTGCTATGTTATACGGATTTAGAAATGCCTTTGCAGTTCTGTAAAAACTGTACCTTTTGCCTTGAATTCCCCCTGAAAAATAGCAGTGCACTTTCTGGTGTGTGAGACTGCCAAGGCATTCCTGTGCCCACAGCCTCATTGCTATACATCTGCAGTGTGAGATCTAAAGCAATGCAGCCTCTGACTGCTAGCCTCATGAGATTTAGCATTTCATTTGGTAATGTCACCACTGTGTTGCTTTCTATTCTGCTTGATAGAGGCTCTGACACGAAGAAGCAAAGCCCTGCCTTTACCAAGATGGCTGCTTCTACACAGACAAACAGTGTGGAACAAGGCATGATCAATGGGGAAATGATCAGCTGCAGCGTGCTCACTGCCTGCTCATTTTTTGAGTACAGCATACGGAGGTCAGCTCCTCTTTAAAGTGTATGTGAAGCAAATAAACTTGCCTCCTGCTACAGCCAAATAGTTCAAATTTTAAATCCTCCGTCCAGAGCACCTGCTGCCATTTTTATGCTCCCAAATTCCTATGTTTTTGTGCATAGTTGAGTCGCTTAACTTTGCTTCCACGTCGGAGGTATGGCTTTTTTATTTGGCTGTAGCAGGAGGCAGTTTGGTCATCAAATGGCTGGAGAGCGGTACAATAATGAGTGTCTGCAGGCAACAATGAAGCATGGTGGAGGTTCCTTGCAAGTCTGCATTTACTGTATGTCAATGGAGTTGGAGATTTGGTCAGGATCAATGGTGTCCTCAATGCTGAGAAATACAAGCAGATACTTATCCATCATGCCATACCACCAGGGAGGCGTGTGACTGGCCCCACATTTATTCTTCAGCAGGACAACAACCCCAAACATACAGCCAATGTCATTAAGAAATATCTTCAGTGTAAAGAAGAACAAGGAGTCGTGGAAGTGATGGTTTGGCCCCCACAGAGCCCTGATCTCAACATCATGGCGTCTGTCTGGGATTACATGAAGAGACAGAAGGATGTGAGGCAGGCGACATCCATAGAAGATCTGTGGTTAGTTCTCCAAGATGTTTGGAACAACCTACATGCCGAGTAGCTTAAAAAAAAGCTGTGCAAGTGTACCTAGAAGAATTGATGCTGTTTTTAAGGCAAAGGGTGGTCATGCCAAATATTGATTTAATTCAGATTTCTATTCTGTTCATTTACTTTCCATTTTATTAAAAATAAACTAATTAACACTTTTATTTCTGAAAGTATTATTACGTTACAGCATTTTTTCACACCAGCCTAAAACTCTTGCACAGTACTGTGTATATTATATATATTTTTATACTCATATAATTAGGAATGCACCAATACCATTTTTTCCAGACCAAGTACCGATACGTGTCCAAGTACTCACAGATACCAATTACAGATACATTTTGTGTAGTGTCATGTGACATTTTTTTCTAAAACAATACAGACTAATGATATCAGGTGGAACGCCAGGGCCCTGGCTGCAACCGTATGTTCTACATACTGAATTAGACACCTACAAGTTTGTTCAGTAGGTGAAGAACCAGCACAGTTACCTAGACCAACTAATATCAAATGGTCCCTTTCTTTGACTCTGGTAAATAAAAAACCTAGAGAGTTATTCACAAAGGAGCCGAAGGACATAGCCGTAAGCTTAGGCTAATCCTTTGGCTCACTTCGGCTGCCGGAGCCCTGCGGTTCAGCTGAAGGGCTGCTGTACGGGCTATTCACGCATATGCTTCGGCTCGGCTGAGCCAAAGTCGCAGCCGAAGCGGGGAGAACGCTGCCCGCTAATGTAAATAAATTTTAAAAAAAGAAGGAGAGAAGGGCGTGTGGTCCCCCTCCCGATCTATACCAGACTCTTTAGGCCTGGTAGAAATGTTAGGAGGAACATGGGAAAAAAAACTGCATGGGGTTCCCCCCAAATGTCATGCCAGGTCTTTTAGGTCTGGTAGGAATTTTAAAGGGGAGCTCCACCCCAAAAAAAAATGGGGCACAAAAAATGTGGGGTCCCCCTTAAATGTCTTGTTTCTTTTTTTCAATTAAATGATTTTTTCTTAAAGTGTGGGATCTTTATTTACTTTAATCCTTTAGTAAATGAGGAGACAAGTACCCCTTACTCATCCACAAGGAGGGCAGGCAGCAACTGGGTGCAAATAAGCCCGCCCACAGACCCTGGAAAAGCACTCTCCCAATGCCGAGAGCAATGCAGCCTGGTATGACACAGGGAGGGGGAAGGGGGCGCTTGCTCGTCCCTCCCCTTTCCTGCCCTGCTAGGCCTGTGCTCAGATTAAGGGTCTGGTTGGGAATTTTAGGGGGACCCCACATTTTTTTCTGTTTTTTTGGGGGCGTTAAGGGTTCCCCTTAAAATTCCTACCAGACCTAAAGGAGCTGGTATGACTTTTGGGGGAACGCGATGCAGTTTTTTTAACTTTTTAACTTGGAGTCTCTCCTAACATTCCTACTAGACCTAAAGGGTCTGGAATGGAACGGGAGGGGGACCCCGAACCGTTTTTTAAAATTCTGCTTGCTACCTCGAAGCTAGCGAGCAGAATAACCAAACCGAATGCCGTTCGGTACCATTTGGCTATTCACCCCCTATGAGAATAGAGGCGGCAGTGAGTGAAATGCCAGACGTTCGGCTTAGCCGATCCAGCGTGTTCTTCACTTTGGCCAAGCCGAACATGCGGATCATCTTCGAACCTAAATCAGCCATACTCGGCTGAAGTGAATAGCTGAACAGTGTTAGGCTCACTTCACATCGACTCGGTTATTCACTCGGCTGCTTTTGGCAGCTTATTGAATAACCCCTTAGTCATTGATATGGGTTACTGCCCTCTGCCAGCAACTTCTACACTTTGCGCTGCACAACAGAGTTGATATGGTATACACTGTTGCAACTATTAAAGTCCAGAGAAAGTGATCAGTCTTTAAAGCACCAAAATAATGAAACGTTTGAGAAATCAATTTCAAAGACCAATTAAACTATCTGTAAAGCTCAATGACTAATGTCTAGTATCTAGTGTGGCAGTGCATGGCAATACCATGGTGTAATTTAGCTTTATGATCACCCAGGGATGGGTCCTTGAAGAGTGCTATGTGCTCCCTTATTTTGGGTTATTGTCCCTTTAACCTCTTGCCGTCCGCCCGTAGTAAAAAAACGGACGGACGGCACTGCTGCATCTGCGGGTTGCCGTCTCCAGACGGCAATTTTTTTCTGCTCGCGCGCGCCCCCTAGCGGGCACGCACGGGCA